AGCTACTAGCCCTTCCCTTTCAGGAAATCTGTTGCATTCAGTACCTAAAGGAGTTAGTTAGAGAGACTTCACTCCTGTGGAGATGAACAGATAGAGATACAGTTTTCTCGTGCTTTCAATATGAGGCTGATATATTTATATAGACTTAAGTAATACATACTTACATGAATATGTATTTAAGTATAAGATGTTTATATGCAACATACTCTTGTAGAATCTCTTGTATAGTTTCTTTCTTTATTGTCTCTTAATCTGAAAATTATTTCTTATGCATAATTTCATTAGACATGTAATAACAGTCTTTGAAATTATTTCCATGAACCAGACACTTTTATATTTACAATTTAAAATTGTTTGTGTTATATTGACTACTTTGCTGTTCATATATCAACTGTCTTTTGTGTAAACACATTTTAAACAAAAATATAACATATTAAGAACCTGTTGTTTTCCAATAATTAATACATAAATACCACACTATATTAATTCATCTTATGTTATAGGGTGGTTTCACTTATCAGCAATGTTGCAGTCTTCAGTATGTATCCCATTGCCCCTAAGTATTGGAAAAAGTAACAATTGTCACAGCAGGATTTTGAAAGTGAAAGTTTGATTAGAGACTTGTAATTCTACTTCTCTGGATATCAAATAATAGGAGTTAAATTAGTTTCTGCTCTAAAACACAACAACAACAACAAAAGAGTACGAGAAAGAACACGAGAAAAGTAGAGATAAGTCAATTCTCTTGTCTTACTGGGAGAGGGCAAAAATTAGAAGAAAAATGTAACAGGATGGTTGTCCTGGAACTCACTCTATAGACCAGACTGGCCATTCAGCTCTTTATTAAACCAATCACAGTGACACATCCTCACATAGTATAAAGGAATATTCTGCAACAAGAGTCTACCATGGTGGGGAGGCACAACAGTGAGTAGCAGGCTGGTGGCAGGAGCAGGTAGCTGAGAGGTCACACCTTATCTCCAGCATGAATCAGAGACAGCATGCTGGAAGCAGGGCAGAGCTATCTGCTCTCAAAGCCTATGCCCAGTGATGTACTTCTCCCAGCAAGGCCATGCCCCCTAAACCTCCAGAAACCATACCACTAAGTGGGGACCCAGTGCTCAAATGCTTGAGCCTAGAGAGCAGTGTAGCACAAATTCTAATTGGTCTTAATAATAAAAATCTGGAGTCAGATATAGGGGTAAATGCTGAAAGATAGAGAAGTAAAGGAGCAGCCACAGTCACCTTTACCTCTCTGAATCCTCCTACCGAAAAAGGGGCCGAGCTCCTGTCTTCACCCACCTTACATTCCTCTCTCTACCCAGCCATATCACTTCCTGTCTATCTGTACACCCCTAGACCTCTTTGGTTAACTAATGGTTAGCTCCACCCTCTGATCTTCAGACAATCTTTGTTAGAGCACAAACAAAGTATCACTACAGTGTGGTGGTTTTCAACCTATGGGTTGTGACCCCTTTGGGAGTCAAATGACCCTTTCACAGGATTGCCTAAGACTATTGGGAAACAGAGATACTTACATTACAATTTGTAACAGTAGCAAAATTATAGTTATGAAGTAGCAATGAAAATAATTTTATGGTTGGGGGGGTCACCACAACATGAGGAACTGTATTAAAGGGTTGCAGCATTAGGAAGGTTGAGATTCACTGCTATAGATGATATTTCTCATTCAAACTATCACAGGGGTCAAAGAGACTTTATGAGCGGGGGAGCGTTTGCAGGTCAGCCTTAATATTCAGGAGTTCATAAAGCAGAAGGGAAACTCTTGGAAATTTAATATGAAGAGGGAATTTTTTTTTAATTTTTAAAAGAATTCTATGTGCATTGGTGTCTTGCCTGCATGTATTTCTGTGTGAGGGTGTCAGATATTGGAGTTACAGAGTTGTCATGTGGGTGCTAAGAACTGAACCTGGGTCCTCTGGAAGAGCGTTCAGTGCTCTTAACTGTTGACCCGTCTCTCTAGCCTCTGAAGAGAAAATTTTTAATCTGAGAAAAAGAAAGACACAATGTGCCCCGGGATGGGTTCCGCAGAATTACTTGTGAGTTAAGGAGTTGGAAGTCTTTGGATAATGATGGTAAGGACTGAATGTATGCACCCTATTAGAAACGACAGTGTACAGCAATCATCACACTGATAGGAAAAGTAATATTATCAACAGCTCTGTTTCTGGTACTAGGGTAATGTTACACATGGGGCTGGTAAGACGCCTTAGCTGGTAAAGGGCACTCGCCAGCAAGCCAGACAACCGTCAATTATAGAGATTTCAGAGGGATTCTGGGGTGAGGAGTAACAGGATAGAGGAGCCTGGTTCTACAGGATAGAGACGTGTTTAGGGTCCCGGGGACACAGAGGGACAGCTAATATAATACACGTGGAGGAGTCATAAAAAGCCTCCTAAGGGGCGCCCCCACCCCCAGAGGAAGCCCCAAGAGGAAAGATAAGGACAAGTATAGTGGGAGGCATGTTATGGTGAGAAGGAGAGAGAAAGAAAGAAAGAGAGAGGGGTTGGTTCGGGGTTCGGGGTTCAGGGGGTTTTCGATAAGCTCCCATGGCACTAGTAAGTGATTCAGCAGCTGTGGGTACAGGGTTTGAGCAGGAAGAAATGAGATGAGGCTGGAGAGACAGCAAGGCCTGGTCACTTGTGGTTACAATGCCAGGCAGGGCAGCAGGAACCAGTCTGTTTACCAACCCCACCCACTCCAGGCCCTGGACATCTCAAATTCCTGGAGTCACTCACAAGTCCCTGTAAGGCCAGATCACCAGTTGTATTTTATGCCATGATTAAGCTGTATGCTTTAAAAGGCAAGTCACAGAGACTGGAAAGATGGCTCTGTGGTTAGGAGCTCTGGTGCTCTTCTAGAGAACTTGAGTTTGAGTCCCAGAACCCACATGGTGTCTCACAACTGACCTCTGTGTGCACTGAGCATGCATGCAGGCAAAACACTCATACATTTACATATATATTTATTATAATAAAATATTTTTTTAATTTCTTTCCTTTATTTTACTTTTTTAAACTTGGTATTGACTCTTTGTGAATTTCTTGTCATGTATCCCAAACCCACTCATCTCCTGTCCCTCCATATCTGCTATTCTGCCCTTGCGACCTCCTCCCCCAAAGACAAGAAAACAAACAAACAAAAAATCTGGCCGTGGAGCTGCAGCGCCGTGCAGTCTACCCTTTTGCCCAAACAGCTTTACTTGCATATATTTTTTGAAACCAGTCATTGGACGGGTTCGAGGCCTCTGGCTTCTGCTACACTACCAATACTGCACCTTCATCGGGACTCCTCTTGGATATCCTGTTGTTGACCTGTGTTGTGAAGATCCTGCGGCTTTGGTTCTGCAGGACTGGCCTCTTCATGCTCCAGCAGTTCATGGATGGGGTCCCCCAACTCAAAGCTCTGGATCTGGGCCTGGGTGGTAGCTGAGTTGGTCAGCTTGCCTGCTCTCCTGCACTCTGCCTAGGTGGGGGGCAGGGTCAGCTCTCCAGTCTGTTGTAATAATTTTTTTTTTAAAGCAAGTCATAAATTGCCTCTGAAAATTCAACCAATTTTCCTCTTAAGGAAAATGGTCCTTTTGGGGTATTTTGCCTCAAACTTGCCTGAAGTCTGCATTTTTTGTTCTTCGAGGGTGATGTGGAGAATGTCAGAAAACAGGACGAAGCCAGAGTCTGTAGGGGAGTGAGGGATTTACACCAACAAATTTTGATGTAGGGTTCCTAGCCAGTTGAGACCTTGGAGAATGGCTATATGAGAAGCTACATACGGCTTTTGGTCCCTTGCCCCGCTCAGTAACCTGGACCTGCAAGGGGCCACTCAGCAGGAAAGGCAAAGCACGCTTCTTGGGAATCTGTGATTTTATTGTCGGCATGGCGACTGCGCCTGAATCCACCGCTGTTTCCTAAGGACAGCGCCTGAATCTACGCTGTTTCGCTGGAATCTATGCTGTCTCTATTAGGACCGTGCCTGAATCTACGCTGTTTCCCTAAGGACCGCGCCTGAATCTACGCTGTTTCACCGGAATCTATGCTGTCTCTATAAGGACCGCACCTAAATCTACGCTGTTTCCATAAGGATCGTGGCTACGCTGTTTCCGTAAGGACCGCGCCTGAATCTACGCTGTTTCCGCAAGGACCGAGCCTACGCTGTTTCCGTAAGGACCGCGCTGGAATCTGTGCTGTTTCCATAAGGACCGTGCCTGAATCCTGCTGTTTCTGTAATGACCATGCCTGATCTACGCGCCTGAATCTATGCTGTTTCTGTAAGGACCGCAGCTCCTCAATCATTGCCCCTCTGCTCAGGCCGAGGAGGCCTAATGGGACTTCTGTGTCCCGCCAGAACCACCTCTGCCTCTGTACCCAAATACAGTTTTTAGCTAAGTTTCTTAAGTCTTTACCAATAAAGGCTGCAGAGTCAATACTGGGATGTACAGAATACTCCTCTACCCCTTTAAGTCCCCTCGGCTCTTTCGCTATAAGGAGGAAAGATGAACACAAACATCGGTAGTTCTCTACTTATATAGATATATAATAGAGAGATCAACAGAGCTTTGGGTTAGTTTTGTTTTAAAGGAAAAGGTGTCTTCCTAAGTATACACATGTATGGTGTACCTTCTAGATTTGACTTTATGCAGATGAGCACTACGTTATAGACTGTTTAATCACCAACATTTCCTACAGCCAAACATGTAACTCTTTCTTCCTGGGTTTTAGGTGGTCTACTAGATGACTTTTTACTCAGTCAAACTCGACATAATCCAAAGCAGCAAAGTTTGGACAGTGAAAGAAAAACGTCATGGCCACCAACACCATGCAATTCAGGAGTGAGCACCTATCCTAATAAACAATGCAGTGTCCTTTGTCCTCTGAAGACCTATATTCACGGTACTGAGGAGGCCCACATGTTCAGACAGGGGAAGCTGATGATAAATGACTACCTGGTCCTTAGCGTCATCCAAGTATCACTGAATCACTTACTCCCTTGGCTTTGTGCTCACGAGGACTCTCAGAGGCTTTCTGCTGCTTAAGCAGGATTTCAGGAAGCAATCGACTTCAGGAAAGGTCTCAGAAAAACCAGGTCACCATTAATAGCAAAAATCTTCTTCCCAACTTCCATGCCAGCCATCTAAGGAAGAAATGCCAAGAAGAATTAGGATGATAATTTAATAGATACTTTAGGTTTTCAAAAACTGAACCACGGGGAAGGCTCAGCATGTACTGATTTGGACATGAGAACACATACACAATAGCTTTATATAAATGTATATAATAGAACTATGAATGAAGTAACATAAATCTGTGCCATCATCATGAATGGGATTGAACAGCTTTACTGAAATCAACCTTTGCCCCACCCCCATGCACACTGTACCCATCTTTGGCTCTTTCTTGGTGTTGTAGTAACAGACCCTTTAATTTAAAAAAACCAAAAAACAACTTGTCCTTTAATGTACAAACTCCAGGTTAATTACTTTTACATATGTTTTATATATTATATAAATATATGTGTTTACATATACATATTGCATATATATTTATTTAACTTAGAAAATGTCACCCTCTGAACATATGAATGTATTGACCACAGACAATAGGAATCTCCAGCCTACATCAGCATGGTGTGCCTAGTACCGAGGAATGGAAGGAGTGGCCTGGAATCCAAGCAAGTGCCAAGGGCAGAGTTGACCCCAATGCACCATGCTGAGAAAGGACAAGGACGACAATACCCCTACAGTTAGCCCAGATGTTCTTAACCAGCAAGACTGCACATAAATCCCCCACTGTTTTGGACTGCAGCTGTTTGATGAAACAGTATATTTTGTCTATGGTGGAGTAAGATGAAGCTGTGCCCTAAGATCAGCCTCTAAAAATGCCCAGGAGAAGGACCTTCTCCTAGAGAACTATTAACCATAGTCATTTTGTGATCAGATACACTAGCAGAGTACAACTGAACCAGCGGCAATGTATTTGCACTTGGAGTGCTGGATAGAAAGCTTTATCTGGCATATTTGTGTTTGATGGTAAAATAAAAGACCTTTAGTATTAATATATACAAAGTACCACTGACTTCAGTAAACAGATTTAATATTATGTATGTTCTACTTCTGCAGTTCTTACATTTTTATTAAAGACCTGGATCCTGAGGTGTTTGCTTAGGGGCTGTGTATCTTGTAAGCTAGACAGCAGGGTAAAGAGTCTTACATCCAGCATCACTGTGGCACAGCACTGAAAAGGAAGCCACATGAAGACAGAGAAGAAAGGAAGGAGGGAAGGGGGAGAGAAGGGAAAAGAGGGAAGGGGAAGAGGAGGGAAAAGAGGGGGGAGGAGGGGAGTGAAGGAGGGAGGAAGGGGGAAAGTTCATATGTGTGTACATGTGTGTACATACATGTGGCAGCCAGAGGGCAACCCTGGTTGTTGTTCCTCAAGTGATATCAACCTTGTCACCTTGTTTCTTGAGACAGGCCTCTCATTGGCCTGGTATTCACCAAGCAGCCTAGGACAGCTAGCCTGTGACCTCAGGAGCTCACCTGCCTCTACTTCCCAAACATAGGATCACAACTGAACACACCACACTTTTGTTTCAATGTGCGTTTTGGTTCTTGAACTCAAGTCCTTATACAGAAAGACTGTTAGGCTAAATTATCAGTCCAGCTCAGAACATTGTATTTTGTCTGCTTTCTACATTTCCATGCTCTCAGAATCTAAAATGCTACCTAATAGATAACCATTATCAAGTGACTATTTCTCAGTGAAGAAGTCAATGATCAGAAGATTCCACTGTTTAAAACCCTAGTGATGTGAGAGAGTGCCAATTGGCATTAATCCAATGAGAAAGCCAACGTGCTTGCTTTACTGATGGAAATCATATTCCCAGAGAAGACAGTGGAGGAGGAAGACAGAAGATGCTGCCTTTGGTTGAACACAATGACCATGTGGCACACAGCACAGTTGTCACATCCTACATAGCTCCCACAGAGCCCTAGGATAGATTTCATGACTGGGAAGATCCTGAAGTCACAGAACATGACACTTGGGAACTCGGTAATTGGGAGCTGTAGATCTCTGGAGTACCACCACCTCCCCGGTCCATCATCACCGACACACAGCCTCAGCTGCTACAAATCCAACACTACTTTACAGAACTTCAGAGACACAATCTTCAACAAACACATAAAGGTCGATTTCAGTTTGGCACTATATTGTATGATGATAGACTTTTAACAAAAATGCTAATTTATATTACCTCAGCATTAGACCCCTTTTCCACTAACTTTATTATTGGAACTTTATTTTTGTCTTCCAGCCCAAAGCCATAGCTGCCTTCATTGGATTTAATCTGAAATGTAAAATAGTAACATTATTGATAAAGAACAAGGAGAGTATCCCAATGAAATCGATTGAAAGCATCAGTGTGCTTGCCTGTTGATCGCTGTACCCGAAGCAAACTTCAGGCACAGCAGCTTACCAACAGTGACTTAGTTATGACATTCTCCACAACTTTCAAGTCATGTTTTTTTCAAGTCTTTTTTTTAATGAGATCTTTGTTGAATTTTAAACCACCAAAAGAGATAAACTCTACGACAAACCTGTTCTTGAAAGCAAACCTTTTGGTGCCTTTTTTTTTTCAAGTCTTTTTTTAAATGAGATCTTTGTTGAATTTTAAACCACCAAAAGAGATAAACTCTATGACAAACCTGTTCTTGTAGACTCCTCCATAGGGCCTATTAACTCCTCAACCAAAGGCTCTTGACCAGTTTTACAAAACCAGGTATGAGTTCCCTCAGCATTTCAAACAAATAACTTTGGGAAAATTGAATATACATGTAGGAGAAAGAAATTGTATACTTAGCTCTCATCCTGCGTAAAAATCAAAAATCTCAATTTTATGTCTGAAACTCTAAAGTTACTATAGTATGAAGTAGGGATGCAATTAAAAGTACAGTTATAGGTAAGGGCTTTCTGAATAGGCCTCTAGCCACTCATAAATAAGGCCAACAATCAACAAATAAAATACAAAATTTAAAAAAATTTCCATACTGCAAAGGAGGTTGTTAAGTGGCTGAACAGGAGCCTAGAAAACAGAAAAAAAAATGAGAGATAACTGTAGTCAGAAAGTTTTTCCAGTCCCGCCAGGCCCCCACAGTCCTGTGGCCCACTTATAAAATAATCACTCAGAATCTTATATTAATTATAACTGTTTGGCCATTAGCTCAGGCTTAATACTGACTAGTTCTTACAAGTAAATTAACCCATAATTCTTATCTGTGTTTAGCCATGTGGCTTGGTACCTTTTCTCAGTTCTGCCTTGAGATCTTGCTTCCTCTGTGTCTGGCTGATGACTCCTGACTCAGGCCTTCCTCTTCCCAGAATTCTCCTTGTCTGCTTGCTGTTGGTTGGTGATATTTTATTTATGATGAAATGTGATATTTTATTTGTATGTTAATAAAGTTGCCTGGAGATCAGAGGTCAAATAGCCATTAAGCAGAAGTCAGGCAGTGGTAGCACACACCCTTAATCCGATCACATGGCAGCCAGAGACTCTGTGTGGTCAAGGACACAGTCAAGTGTGGTGACATGAGCCTTTAATCCTAGTATCAACCATAGAGACCTGGAAGTCTGTTTGGACAGGCAGAGACAAGGAAGTCATGTGGCTGGGTTTAGGGCCAATGAGAAGGCAGAACAGAAAGGCAAGATAAGGTGGTGGTAAGATAAGGCAGTCGTGGCTCTCTGATCTCTTTGGCTATTACCTCTATTTGGCTCTGTGTTTCTTATTTAATAAGACTGTTTAGAATTTGGTCTACAGCTTGCCCTGCCTATACTTCCTGTCTGGCTACTGGCCAATCAGTGTTTTATTTATCAACCAATCAGAGCAACAGAAAGACATCCCATAGCAGATAACTGACAGAGTGTTAGTTAGTATCTAGAATATGTGAAGAACTTACAAAAACTATTCTTTGAGAAAGCAAACAGCCTAGTTAAAGGCATGCTATATAGAATTGAACAGAAATGTCTTAAAAGAAGAAACACAAATGGGTAATAAATACTTGGAGAAGACATGGAGGAGCTGGAGAAAGGATAAAATGATAAGTTAGAGAAATGAAAGGGAAGTGAGGAATGATGTAATTATATTTAAACTATTTAAAGAAATTAAGCAAAAAAATAAAACTTCAAAAAGGTGTTAAGTGTCTTTAGTCATCAGAGAACCACAGACTAAAACTATTTAGATACTTTATCTTACTCCAGTCAGAATGGATGTTATCAAGAAAACAAAGGCTAAAGAGATAACTCAGCAGGTCAAAGTGTAAACTGTAAACCTAAATTCAGTTCTCAGAACCTATATAATTTGGTTCATAACTACCTACAAATATCATTCTAGGGGATTCAATAACATCTGGCTTCCTCAAATACCTGCACTTACATGTGCATACTCACATATGGATGCACACACATGCATAATTAAACATAAAATTTTTAGAAAGAAAACAAGTTACTAGGATTCTATTGAGAATGTGGGGAAAAGGGAAACCTTATTTGCTCTTGGTGGGAATGTAAACTGGTGTAACCACTATAGAAAACAGCTTGGAGCTTCATCCAACAGGTAGAAATTGAACTGCCATGTGATCAGTTATACCACTCATGGAAATATACTCAAAGGAATTCATATCCTACAACAAAGACACCAACACTTATGTGTTCACTATTGTTCTATTCACAATATCTAGGAAATGAGATGAGGCTAGATATCCAGTGACTGCAGAATCAACAATGAAAATGTGGTGCATGTAAACAATGGACTTATTTAAGAGACAATCACTAGGAATGGTCTTATTTGAGACCAGTGGACTTACTTGAGACCACTACTAGGAAATTATCAGACACTGAATAAATATTTAGTGAATATATGTGATATATGTTTAAGCAATGATTCTCAAGTTATTTGAAATTTTAGTGTAGTTGACACTTAACTATGTTTAAGAATAAAATCTATATGCTGACTGTAATTCATTTCAGGATATGACATGCTTTCTTACTTTCATTGATAATGAAATGAGATATTATATAAAAAGAATTATCTCAGAGTCTCAAAATCTGATTGATGTGAATTGAGTGCTTTTTTATTGAATTGTATTTAAGTAAAGAATCAATGTTCTACCAACTTTGCTTAAAATCAATCAAGTTATCAAGGGCATAAAATATTCCAAGTACAAATTAATAGCATATAGAAGAGGCAGCTGAAAAGGAATCTGTATATATAATAAAAGGAAGGTATCCCAAGATAATAATTTTATAGATTCAAGAGTAGTCAAATTAATTGTAACTTTATCTAGTGTTTCAGAGAGACTGAAGTACAGATCTCATTGATAGATACATTAAAGAAAATAAACTAAAATGGATAACATTCTTAAATAATATAGATTATATTTTCTTAATCCCTAAGTTGTTTATGGGTTAATACACAAAATTTTTAGGAATTTCAAATACAAAATAGATAATGCTCTGTCCTGGTGACTACAAAAATCATTCCAAATTTGGAATTCTATTCATTGTGTTTCATAAGCTGAACTAGAATATTATTATAGGCGACCTGATGCTGGTAAACTGTGTGTGTTGGGGGTAATGAAAAAGATGGAGACAGAAAGAGAAAGAAACAGAGACAGACATACAGAGAGAAGAGAGAAAATGTTATAAAAATAATTTATTTGACATTTTAACCTTTCTAGCTACACATTTTAAAGAATCCCTTTTCAAAAACACCAATTTAAATAAAGCTATAGGTTTTAGTATATTCATGTTACACTAAGAGCACATCATAAACTTCTAGCAATACAGAAGTATATATGATACTACGATTTGTAATAGAAAATAATGAGTTTCTGAGTTTTCCTTCTGTTTCAAACCCTGAACAAAACTGCTTGCTCCTATCACCTTATTGTCCTAGATGTTAAACCAATGCTTCTTATTGAAATTAATTCAGTAACTATATCTGTTAATAATCTTTGTTCAATTTACATTAGCAGCTAGGGTTAGGATTGATCTTGATGTTATACTCTATTTCAAAAAGAGAAAAGAATCAATCTCATCTCATTCACCTAATGAACAGTTCTTATGACTTACCAAACTATCTTTTGGCATTGAGGTTTTGCAACCAAATAACAAAACAAGTCTTTAACAAAAGGTGAGTGACTTATTTCCCCTAGACTTTAGTTTTCTTCTAAAACTTCCCATTTCATAATAAACTGGTATTTAATAGATACTTGAATATCATTTTCCTTGTTAAATCCAGGAAGAAGATTTTTGCATGACTCAAGGAAAAGACAGTAAAACATTGTTCTCAAAGATGGAAGACTATTCACTAGTAGGTGCCTCTCATATTAAATATTTCTTTTCTTTCTTTTTCTTTCTTTCTTTCTCTCTTTCTCTCTTTCTTTCTTTCTTTCTTTTATTATTTGATTTAATATAAATATCAGCTATGGATTTCCCTGTCCTCCCTCCTCCTGCCCCCCCCCCCCCCCCGACCCTCCCTCCAGCTCAAGGACTCTGCTGGAGATTCACATCTCCTCCAGGGCAAGGACTCTGCTGGAGATTCAACTCAACCTGGTAGATTCAGTCCAGGCAGGTCCAGTCCCCTCCTCCCTGGCTGAGCAAAGTGGCCCTGCTTAGGCCCCAGGTTCCAAACAGCCAGCTCATGCCCTAAGGACAGGTCCCAGTCCCACTGCCTGGGTGCCTGCCAAACAGTTTAAGCTGATCAACTGTCTCACTTATCCAGGGGCCCTGATCCAGTAGGGGGCTCCTCAGCTATTGGTTCATAGTTCATGTGTTTCCACTAGTTTGGCTGTTCGTTCCTGTGCTTTTTCCAATCTTGGTCTCAACAGTTCTTGCTCATACAATCCCTCCTCTTTCTCGACAACTGGACTCCTGGAGCTCCACCTGGGACCTGGCTGTGAATCTCTGCATCTGCTTCCATCAGTCATTGGTTGAGATTTCTAGCATGACAATTAGGGTGTTTGGCCATCCTATCACCAGAGCAGGTCAGTTTGGGCTTTCTCTCAACCATTGCCAGTAGTCTATTGTGGAGGTATCTTTATGGGTTTCTGGGGACCTCTCTAGCACTTTGCTTCTTCCTATTCCCATGGGGTCTTCATTTATCATGGTCTCTTTTTCTTTGTTCTCCCTCTCTGTTCTTGATCCGGCTGGGATCTCCTGCTCCCCCAAGCTCTCTTTCCCTCGACCCTTGCCCTTTATTACCTCTCCCATGTCCAGTTTGCTCATGTAGATCTCATCCATTTCTCTGTCATTGGGCGATCCCTGTGTCTTTCTTAGGGTCCTGTTTTCTAGGTAGGCTCCCTGGAGTTGTGAGTAGGAGTCTAGTCTTCTTTTGTTTTACATCTAGTATCCTCCTATGAGTGAGTACATACCATGTTTGTCTTTCTGAGTCTGGGTTACCTCACTCAGGATGATTTTTTCTAGATCCATCCATTTGCCTGCAAACCTCATGATGTCATTGTTTTT